TACAGTAGCTATTAGGTAATCAGGTAAATGTATTGAAAATGTGTCCAGTTTGCATTTCAAAAAAGGTCATATATTATTTTGCTTTATTACATAAAAGCATTTAGGTGTTTACTGTGCATATTCCCAGCAGATGTTTCATGTCTTTATTTAGTTAATTAGGGGTTGCGTCATGTGATCTGAACAAGCTTGCGTGAGATTCACCTCATTCACACACACACATATTAACTGCACCGCTGGTTTGTGACAAAGCCACACACACAAATCCACATTTTCAAACATGATTAATGTCACACTTGAAACGACAGGGCTTCATCTTCTCTCACACATTATCCTCTGGAGAAACATTCATCACGTTTGATTTATCCTGGATAATATTTCATGTTCTCCGCATCTGTTCTGGGGTCAGTTTAGTGCACCAAACCCACAATGGAAAGCTCAGTTGAGCAAACATCTGCACAGATTTGAGTTAAAGTGTGATGATGCTGTACAGTTCATATTTCCTTTTTATTTCTTAGTTTTTACGGCAGTTTTCAATCTTGCAGGTGCTCAGGAACCCCATCCTAAAATTTAAAAATGCAGAAAATGATAGAAAATGTGATATGTGTGTAAAATATTATTTGGAAAATATTTCATTTCTGTACTGTTATTATTATTATTTATTTGTTGTTTTTTTTTTTTTTACAGTTTGCTCATTTTTACTCTGCATTTTCCAGATTTCCCTATTGCACACAGACCGAATTTATACTGTAAAAAATGTAGATTATAATTAAATTGTAAATTCATTAGTTTGAGTATATTTATTAACTTCTATTGTGATATATATATATATTTTTTTTTTTGAGACTCACTGTGGTACTGTATTGATTAGATGTTATATTAATGCGGTTTTACTATACATTTTTCTCTTGCGAAATGATAAATAATCTGTCAATAGACAGGCTAACTCAACCTGTCTATTAAATATCTTTATGGTATTTATAGTAGGGAAATTTATGATCGTATATGGGGATTTTCGTTAAATCTACATAATTTTTCAGACCAATAGATAAGCAGCATTTAGCAAAATCACAGACAATAATGAGGGAAAATGGTTACCGCTATTATTTTTATTTTAGTAACGTTACAGGTTTCAGACACCATTCAAAATACGGTGACGTGGGCGGGGTTTTCCGTTAGATCCGGTCTGGATTCTCTCGGTAAGGAGGACTGACCGGAGTAAATAATACTATGGCGAAGGCTTAGCACTCATGTCATGCTGCTTGGTAACAAAAACTGTGATAGAAAAAAAATACTGTTAATAAATATACTTAATCACTAATAAAATAGATTTAGATGTTAAAGGCTGTTTATGTGTTACCAACATCACGTTGCGTCATTTATTATTAATGAGCCAAGCCTTCAGCATAGTATCCCACTTAACTACGGCGTCCAATCTGTTTGCCGAACGTCACGCTGGCTCATTAATATTCATAAGACGGGTTGTCGCCGTAGTAGGGTCCGTGAATTTGCTCCCGTTAACGGTTGATTCCACTCGGCGTATTTTTACGTGGACTTCACGACATTGCGTCACGTTGATGAATTTGAAGTGATGCTACCGAGGCGCATCCATCGTCCGCGTATGATAAACAAATCTGCGCCAGTCGCTAGTCATTCGCGCGGAAACCACGAGCGTTGCAGACGGATTACCGGGATTTTAAAGATGTGATTTATTGAAGAAAATACCGAATTAGGAAAGTGTCTTACATTAGCTGGTGTATCTGTGTGTGTACACACACACACACACGCGCGCGCGCGCTTGTAACTTACTCAGGTGGGCCAACGGTTTTTGCGCGTGTGGTCTCGCGCACAGGACGGTTTGCGCGGCTCGGCATGATCGGTAATGCACGCGCTCTTCCGTTCGGTATCCGCACCATCCCGGGGTGTGACCGATAGACACGGATCCGTCATGGCGGGTCCCGCATTCACGGGAGCGCACGGGACCTGGATCACATCTCGGTTACGGGAGGACACATCATCTTCTTCATCATTATCATCATCGTCATCCGCGGAGAAACCGCGCAAACGGAGAGCCTTTAACCTGGTCAAGCTACGGCAGCCCACCGCCCCCGGTAACAACAACACACCGTTTGTGATCTCCGGTCATATCAAGCACATCTGCAGTAACTGCAGCCGCGGGAACGACATCCGGGACGGTGAGTGATGATGATGATGATGATGATGATGGTGATGCCGCGTATAACGGGCCAAAACAGTTGTTTTTATCTCGTTTATGTTGGCCTGTTTAATCCTTAACTAGCCTAGTTAAAGGGACAGTTCATCCACAAATAAAAATTCTGTGATTTTTTTACGTTAAACTAACAATAGGAAAACAATATGTTACACACATATATATTACACACACACACACACACACATATATACTGTATGTATATATATATATATATATATATATATATATATATATTACACATGTTTGATTAGTGATCATATTGAAGTGTATTTTATTTGTGTTACAAGTCCAAATTAATTTTGAGTGTCTTCGAAACATACAAGCAATATGCCATAAGTCAGTGTATTATGTATTTGAGTAAAAATGCTCAGTAATACTATCTGGCTTATTCCAAATACTATACACTTTCTTTTAAAATGTTTTAAACAGGCTTTCAATGCTTTTATCATATGGTTTAATACTTTCTGAAAGCAATGTATGCCCAAGTAATGAAGTGAATTCCAAGCATGGAGAAATAAACTTAAAAATGACTCTAAAATTTAATTTTAAATATACTACAACTTCAGGATGTTTAATAATGTATTTTGTAAGTATACTTTCAATGCATTGTTAAGATGATCATTTTCAGCACACAATTAATAATATACCTGAAATATATTTTTGAGTGCAATTGTGCAAATAAATACGCTTTTAAAAAATAAATAGAATTTTCACTTCATGTATATTTTTAGAAAATATAGCCTATTTACGTACACTTATTTTAAACTGTGTTAAAATGTGGGAAAATAGGTAAAAGCATCATGTAAATACCCTTTTAATATATTTAAAGATAGCAAATATATACTTTTCTTAGTATATTTGCAATGCACTATTGAAAAAAAATATTTTAAATACAAAAAAGTATACTTTTTTTACATGCTTGATTAGTGATAGTGATCATATTAAAGTGTACTTTATTTGTTTATTTCAAATTTATTACAAGTATCTTTGAAACACACAAGCAATATACCATGTCTATTATATAACTGAGTAAAAAAAATGCTCAGTAATAACTTTGGCTTATTCCAAGTACTACAAATTAGATGGAGAAGAGAAGCGGTCCCAGCACTGAGCCCTGAGGCACTCCAGTACTAAAGTAGATGTTGGGTCTTAGACACCTCACCACTATATACCAATACCACACTATATATTAGAGCCCGACCGATAAAGGATTTTGAAGGCCGATACGATACAAATATTTTTGGGTTTTAAAATCCGATATTCCGATATATCGGCCGATATTTTATTTATTTATTTGAAACTGGACATGATTGTCACAAATTCTGTCCTGCTTATTTGAGTTAAGAGAACTGATGGGGATGTTCTTTTAATTGTTATTCAAGCAATGTATGTATCGTGACCAACTCAACGGGTGTTGCCAACAGGGACGGTGTAGAGCGCCCTCTGGTGGACAAACTATACAACTCCAACACTCATGACATGGTTCAAGCGTGTTTCGTCCGTTTTTATTTTATTTTTGAAATATTTATTTATCGGCCATTATAACTGCCGATACCGATAGTTTGGAAAATGCCTAATATCGGCCGATAATATCGGTCTGCCGATATATCGGTCTGGCTTTACTATATACTGTTTAGTTTAGTTGTGTGTTTGTATAACAATACATTTTCTGTCCAAATAAAATATAGTGTACAGAACAATATATTACCGGGCTCATCATTAAGGCTTGCCAACTGCTTAATTAATGTGCTTGAAAAAATAGGATTTGTTTGTGTTGTAATTTTTTTTTCTGAACCATTAGCCTATTCTCTGCTATCAGCTTTTACATATTTAAATATACATATTTGTGTGTGATATTTACCCAGAGGGACATTTATTTTTACCTTTTATAAACCCCCCTAAACTTATTAAATACATGCTTTATCTTTTATTTCAAATTCTTAAATTTGATCAATAGTTATTATTATTAGAATTATTATAAAAGGGCTTTTGTATTAATCAATTAATTGTATTAGTTATAATTTAATATTTCTGTACCTGAATGCTGATAGATTTACCTGGAAAATGTTTGTATTTACCTATTGTATATCTATGCTTGTAATCTGTTTATTATTTTCTATGCTGAATCACTCCCTTACAAAATCACCCCTATTATTCTTGAATGATTAAATCTTTTCAAGTAGAGATTTTTATATCGCTATATCGCAGAAAAAACGAAATATCGCAATGTAAGTTTTGTCCAATATCGTGCAGCCCTACCATACGCAGTGGAAAATTATAAGGGATTTACCATGGAAGTTTACTGTAAAATACTGTATAGGTTTTGGACGAAAAAAATTACAATTATTTTCAACAAGACAAAAGACATGTACTTTTGCAGTAAAATATCATTATTAGTTGTTGTTTTTTTAGTAAGAAGAAAATATGAGTCACATTTTAAATATACATAAATATGCATTTTACAATATATATATATGCAAAATAATTAAATATAATTCAAGAAAGAATTTTTACATTTTATATAATAAATGCAAGAATTAGGTATAATTACATTTTTTTATATTACAAATATAATTCTTTGTAAGAAGTAAAGTACAAGGGTTTCATGCTTATTGCATTATTTTACTGTCACATTTTCCCCTGATGATGCTTTGTTATAGTGTGCACCATTTAACTATGTAGTATATACAGTAATATATATTTATTCTCAGTATTGATCATTTCTAATGTTCTTAAACTATGCCACTAACATGAGATTGTTGAGTGGAAACTAAAATGTTGGCATTGAACTTTTGGCAAATCCACGTTTATTGTTTGGTTGTGTGTGTGTGTGTTCTTGTGTTCTTCTGCGTTGGTTCTGCTTGATGACCTACATCCATCGCTCCGATGTGAGTCTGAAGTGAATGTTCAGCAGGAAAAACAAGCATCATTCTTTCCTTTTACCTCTTCTCTCTGGTGGACAAAACATCCAGAAATCTTCCCGTTTTCCCAGAGGAAGTTTCCAGTGATTCTAGTGCACTGGCCATTTTTGTCTGTGAATTTATCTTTTATATAACTACTATACATTTTATATTTATATATAACACTGCCGTTCAAAAGTTTGGGATCGGTAAGATATTTAAAGTCTTGTTTACTCATCCAACGCTGCATTAATTATGATTAAAAGTACAACAACAAAAATTCATATTGTTAAATATTACAATTAAAAATTGCAGTTTTCTATGTGAATATACAGTAAAGTGTAATTTATTCCTGTTTTCAGCATCATTACTCCATTGTGTCACATGATCCTAACATGAGGATCTGATGATCAAGACAAATTTATGATTATTTTTAAAAATGTTCAATGATAAATGTTGAAAAAAGGGAGAGAAATAAAATAAATGAATGATTTTTTCCAGCAAGGATGTATTAAATGACAGTAAAGACTTTAAAGACTTTTTAATGTTACAAAAGATTTTATTTTAAATAAATATTGTACTTTTGAACTGTCTATTCATCAGAATGAAAATTATATACACGATTATATATTATATATTTTATACGTGAGACAATCATCTCCTTTTATTAGAGTTACCTAATGGAAAAAGTAATAAAAAAGGTCCAGCGTAATCCTGTACATGTGACACAAACTGGGAAGAAGGGGAAAATCCTGAAGATAGTTGCATGAGTTTTTCCAGTTACTTGATCCTAAAGGTATTTGGTCTCTGTGACGTTTATTATGCAATTATTCACTTACTTTCTTTACTTTCTAAACCATCTAAATTCTTTTGACTCGTTTACTTGATTAATGAGCTTGACTTTTTAATGGCAGCTTCTGGAAATTGTTAGTGTAATCCTGCTAGATTTGGTTTGTAGATTGACTTGTTAAGGGAATGATTATTAATTAAGGGAATAATTCACCCAAAACTAAAAATTGTCTTCATTTACTCATCCTCGTGTTGTTTTAAACTTCTGTAGGTTTCTACTTTATTAAATGCAAGATTTATTTTCTCCATGCAATGAAAGTGGTTATTTTTACTCTTAAAAAGTGTCATAAACGTTGTTGTGTTGACAAAGGTTTCGTACAAAGCTTAAGCTTAAAGTTCTTGAATTTTAATTTTTGAAAACAGCCACAAAGATTTAAAAAGTGCTTCAATTATTGAAAGACAATATATGTAGAATTAGTGTTTTTATTGTATTGGTAAAACAATCTTTTCACACAAAATGAACGTCTAATACAGATATAGAGGCATTTCACATGGTTATGAGTGTGATATTACTCATAAATATCTAAATATATGTTACAGCTTTCATTCTTCAGGTCAATCATATTTCAAGGAAATAAATCAGTTTGATTTAATCAGTTCTGAAATAAATCAGTTGAAGATAATAAAGCAATTGTTTGAGAAGTGAGATCTCAGTCCTTGAAAACCAAAAAAGTAGTGCTTGTGAAAGTCATTTTACAGTAGAGACTCTGTGAAACGGTCAGGAACAAATTACGGCAGGATTTTCATATTTGTGTCTCACTCCTTAAAAGCGTGTTTGTGTTCAGCAGAGGGTGCCGATCGTCTGGCGGCGATGCGCTCGGATTCGCTGGTTCCCGGGACACACACTCCGCCCATCCGCAGACGGAGCAAACTGGCCAGTCTAGGGCGACTCTTCAAACCCTGGAAATGGAGGAAGAAAAAGAGCGACAAGTTCAAACAGACGTCTGCAGGTTCGTCTTCTGCCTGAGGATTTATATTGTTGTTGAAAGATGTCACTTATGCTCACCAACCTGCATTTATTTGATTAAAAATACATTTTGCTGCTTATTTTTTTGTGAAAACCGTGAAACATTTTAATTTTCAGGATTCTTTGAGGTTCAAAAGAACAGCATTTATTTAAAACACAATCTTTTGTAACATTATACATGTCTTTATTGTCACTTTTGACATGTTAAAGGTGCAGTCTGTAAGAATGACCACTAGTGGTCAAAATAGGTACTGCAGTCGAAATTAAAATATCAGAGATCGTCGTTTCTCCCGCCTCCGCAGACTCGATTCTCACGGGTCGCCAGTTTGAGACACAACAGGAATGAAAATCGACTAATTTGCAACGTGCAGTATCACAAACCAAACCAATAACACACATTCCAGCCTGGAAACACATTTCAGAGTCGAATAACTGTCTGTACAAGTGTTTTTCTGAGAAACGAGTATGTGAACTTAGCATGTTTCCTCAATATCTGCAAACTTATAATGGTATTTTTTTATATATATAATGGAGTGAAAAAGTTACATACAGCACCTTTAATGCATCCAAGTTTAATTTTCCTTAATAATTTTGAATGCTAGTCAATTTGCACAAAAATATGAAGCAGCACAACTGTATTCAACATTGGTAATAATAAGAAAAGAATCATGTGACACTGAAGACTGGAGTAATGATGCTGAAAATTCAGCTTTGATCACAGGAATAAATATATATATTCACATAGAGAGCAGCTATTTTAAATTGTGACAATATTTCACAATTTGTACTGTATTTTTGATCATATAAAAGCAGCGTGGGTGAGCAGAAGAGGCTTACTTACCGAGCTCAGACTTTAGTGAGAGTGGTTTTGTGAATGCTTCGCAGTGCTGGAGAGGAAGATGTCGACGCGTCAGAGCCGAGAAGAGCTCATCAAGAGAGGCGTGCTGAAGGAAGTGTATGAGAAAGGTACGTGTCTACATCACACACACTCATAATCACTGTAATCGACGCTTTAGAAGTTTCAGAGATTTTGATCTACTGGGAATAAGTGCGACTAGCCGCGTTTCCATTAGCCGACCCTTGAAATTGCGAATTGAAAATACGCCACTTCAATTTATTGCAAAATACGCTTGCATGAGGTGGTTTTTCAGGCAATTCGAAAAAACTATTTCACAAAACTGCAATGAAAATTAAACTCATAAAAGACAAGAATTACAGGAATACTGGATTCTAAACCTCAAAGAAATGCCACAATCAAGAGCTTGAAGCAGATTTGAGGGAGAAACACCCAGAATTCCCATATGAGCCGCTCTTAAATATAAGGGTCTTTCCTGCCATTAATGCTTGGATAACACGTCTCCTTCCATTAATATTAATGTCCAGTGCAGTGGCTGGGATATATACACTACCGGTCGAGAAGTTTTAGATCGGTAAGATTTTTTATGTTTTTAAAAGAAGTCTCTTCTGCTCACCAAGGCTGCTTTATTTGATAAAAATACCACAAAAAAAAAACAGTAATATTATTACAATTTAAAACAGCGGTTTTCTATGTGAATATATAGTGAAGTGTAATTTATTCCTGTGATGAAAGCTGAATTTATTTTACAGCATCATTACTCCAGTCTTCAGTGTCACATGATCCTACAGAAATTATTATAATATGATGCTCAAGAAACATTTATGATTATTATCCATGTTGAAAACAGTATTTTACATTTTTATTTCAGGATTCTTTGATGAATAGAAAGTTCAAAAGAACAGAATTGATCTGAAATGGAAAGCTTTTGTAACATTAATCACTACCATTCAAAAGTTTGGGGTCAGTAAGAATTTATTTTTTATTTTTGGGGGAAAGAAATTAGAAAATACTTTTATTCATCAAGGATGAGTTAAATTGATCAAAAGTTATAGTAAAGACATTTATAATGTTTTAAATAAATGCTGTTCTTTTGAACTTTCTATTTTTGGGGGGAAAAAAATGGTACATGACTGTTTTCAACATTGAAAATAATAATTTATGTTTTTTGAGCATAAAATCAGCATATTAGAATGATTTCTGAAGGATCATGTGACACTGAAAACTGATGTGTGTATTCAGCAACAGTAATGATGATAAATTCAGCTTTCATCACACACTTCACTATATATTCACATAGAAAACCGCTGTTTTAAATTGTAATAATATTTCACAATATTGCTGTTTTTTTTTGTGTGTGTATTTTTATCAAATAAAGCAGCCTTGGTGAGCAGAAGAGACTTCTTTTAAAAACAACGTTCTAAAACTTTTGACCGGTAGTGTGTATATAAACCTACCAATGTCCATCGCCAGGATTATTGTTAGAGGAAGAAACGACGTTTTAGTCGTATAATAACAGCGGTTAATGGAAACGCCGTCATTTCACAGTAGATTTTTTATCAACGCAAGAGTTTTGCGCAAATCTGTAATGGAAACGCGCCGTGTCTTTCTCTCTGTCAGTAGAGGAGGTCAGCGGTGGCGTGTGTGTGAGTGAGCTGGACAGACATACGGTCATCAGTCCAGGTCCAGAGTCAGCTGACACCAGCGTCACAGCGGCAGGTGCGTCACACTCCACTCTTCACCAGTCTAGCTTTCCCCCTGAAGTCCTCCTGTAATCTCAGTCCAGGTGTCTTGCACTAAAAACAGCCATACTTCGGTCTTTTGGGACCTTTTTTTTCTTAAGGTAATTCCTGATGCTGTACCTGTAGGATTGCTTAATGTGTGCTGATGATATGCTAATGAGGGTGGTTATATGTTAATGAGATGCTGATTGGTGTCGAACATGATGTTTTTGCTGTCAGAAAAGTTGTTGAAAAGTTTGGATCGCTGAAAAGAAGTATTCAGCAAGGATGCATTAAATTGCTTAAAAGTAACAGTACACTTTTTTATAATGTTACAAAATATTTCTATTTCAAGTAAATGCTGTTTTTAGAACTTTCTATTCATCAAAGAATCCTGAAAGATAAAATCTATCAGTTTATTTTATATTTAGAGTGATATTTAGAATGATATATTTATCGTTATCATCCTTGATGTGAATGAGCCTTAAAGGAATAGACTTAAAATTTTAAAAGTGAAACTTTTAAAAATGAAACACTTAAAAATGAAAAGTCATCATCATCATCATCAAGCTGTGTCAAACCTGTATGAATTTCTTCTGCTGAACACAAAAGAAGATATGAAGAGTTCAGATGCAAAAGCCTCTAAGTGCCATTTGAAATTTTCTTCTAAAATGATCATTTTTATCAAGACCTTGTATATTTAAGTTCAGTAATTTCACTTAAATGGCAATGAAGGTTACCTATTAATTTTCATTTAAGTGAAATTACTGAACTTAAATATACAAGTTTGATAAAAATGGTCATTTTAGAAGAAAATTTCAAATGGCATTTAGAGGCTTTTGCATCTGAACTCTTCATATTTTGAAGAATGTCGGTAACCAAACTGTTGACGTAGCCATTAATTTCAATAGTAGGAAAACAAATACCATGGAAGTCAATGGGGTCCAACTTTTTGGTTACCGACATTCTTCAAAATATCTTCATAATTTATACTGTATGTTCTAGTTTAAGTGAACTACTCCTTCAAGAGACATGATAGATTTAATACAGGTGAAACTCGAAAAATGAGAATATGGTGTAAAAGTTCAGTTATTTCAGTAATTCAACTTAAAAGGTGTATTACATAGACTCATTACATGCAAAGTGAGATATTTCAAGCCTTTATTTGTTATAATTGTGGTGATTATGGCTTACAGATTATGAAAACCCCAAAGTCAAAATTAGAATATTGTGAAAAGGTTTTCAAGCCATAATCATCACAATTATAACACATAAAGGCTTGAAATATCTCACTTAGCATGTAATGAGTCTATATAATATATTAGTTTCACCTTTTAAGTTGAATTACTGAAATTTTTCAGTAATTTTTCGAGTCTCACCTGTATAAATATATATTTGTGCTGTTAGAAATACTTAAATTGTACCATTCTCTCGTTCTCGTCTAGTGTCGTTCTCAGAGGTCCAGTCGCCTGGAGAAACTGTGGCGTGTCTCTCATCTCAAGCCCCGCCCCCTGTGAAGCCGTTGCCTAGCGACAGTGCTGACATCGCTCACTTGAGGCCGTCGTCACTGAAACAGCCTCCAGCCTTACCGCCAAAGCCATACAGCAGAATACCCAGCCATCTCACAGGTCAGACGCCCATAGACGGTAATAAAAAATGGACGTACGTTGTGTGTGTGTGTGTGTGTGTGACGTCATCCGTAGTATTTTTGAAGCCCGAAGTGGGCGGAGCCGGCCGTCGCCATCTTGGCCGCGTCACTCCCGGTTAAACAAACATGTGAAGCGAGGCGAATTAGCTGAGGTCATGTGACGCTAACACACAGCAGACAAAGGCTAGCAGTGACATCAACGGCAATCCATCTGTCACTTAAGTGGCCATGCCCTTAATTATGAACAACTTTCAGGCTTAATATCATTTACACGGATGAGTTATAAAAAAATTCAGCCCCCTCACAGTCGTCATGAAGGATAAAATAAGCAATTTAGACCAAAACCACTTTTTGCACCAGACAGTGAACATGTTTTATTCTGCTGTAAAGTTGAGCATTTTAACATGCGGCTCTATGGGACCTCTATGGGCCTCTAGTGGCCAGTGGAGGAACTGCAGTTTAATCACTTCAGCGCTGGATTAACGAGAGACCGTGAAAAGCGTAACTCTGTCTCTTCTTCTCTTCAGAGACGCTTGCCAGACTGTCACCGCCTCTCCCTCCAAAGAAAGTGATGATATGTGAGCCAGCGCCCTCGTTTGCCCTCAAATGCCTGCCGTCCCACGCGCACACACACACACTCACACACGCTCACCCGCAGCAGTTCGCCACCCTGCCGCTGTCTCTGCACCCGCCCAGCCGCATCATAGAGGAGCTCAACAAAACTCTCGCGCTCACCATGCAGAGACTCGAGAGGTGAGGACACGCACACACACATACCCTCTCACACTCACACACACACTAACTATGAGACACACTCGCATACTCAGTTTCTCTGTCTCTCCATAGGCGTAATGGTTTTATACCGTACAAACTGTATATTCTATCTCCGAAAACTTGCATTTCTTACATTTTCAATTTTAATAAATTTCCCCCGTGGGGATCGTTCATCTTACATTTATACAGAGCAACAACTCACTGCGTGATGGAGTCTGTAGAATACAGTAGAATGACCCCCCCTAAAGGTCAAGATATGAGGGAAAAAATGCCTGTTTGAGATTTTGTCTCATATTTATATCATGAAATAGTTGAGCAATATCATGATTTTATACAATCAGTTCGATAAATAAGAAGTTAATATGGTTATATTTTAGACACTAAATTCTGTTGAATCAAAAAAAATGAACTTTTGAGGCAATTTCTCTGCCAGATTTGATGTGCGACTATATTTGACACTTTGTGTAATTAATTCGATTAAAAATGTTATTATCTTGACAGCCCTACACAGAATTCGGTAACACTTTACAATAAGGTTCATTAGTTAACATTAGTTAATGGACTGTGAGCTAACATGAACGCACAATGAACAGCTCTATTTCTATTAACTAACATTAACAAAGATTAATAAACACTGTAACTAATGCATTGCACATCGTTAGTTCATGTTAGTTAATGCATTTACTAATGTTAACTAATGAACCTTATTGTAAAGTGTTACCCAGAATTCTTTTTCTTTTCTGCACTGGGTTTCCATTAATAATAATTATTAATTTATAAAAAATAAATACAAATATTGTTATTATTACATAAATTAAGACCATACATTTCATCTATAAGCAGCTCTATAGAAAACAGTAGTGCAGACAATACTCTATAACATAATCAGTTATTAATATTTCGCATGTGTTCATAATTTCTTTGTATGACAGTCAAAAATAATGCCTGCACAATTTGGTATGGTTTTCAAATAAAACAATCGACTCCCAGCACAGCTATGTTAAATGCCTTCAAAATCACTTTTTAATTATATTTGAATAAACAGTTTTTGCCCGTTGCCTGAACACATTTTGCAAAACTTCGCTCATTGTGCCAAAACTCTACACACAAGTAAGCATGACACAACACTGGGAAATACACCATTCACATCGTGTTAAATTGAAACTCATCCTTTATCAAAATGACACATACTTGCATCATATGCATACACTCTCAGATCACACTAGTCTACTTTTATAAAACACTGCAGTCTTTGATTTTAACTGTTTATTCACAAGAAAACTGTAAATACATGTAAAAACTTTCAATATTTTACTATTCTCATAAGTTACCGTCTGAACTTTACATGCCTGAAATACACACCTGTCGTGTGTGTGTGTGTGTGTAGTTCTGTACTGCAGGCGGTGCCATCTGTCCTGATGGAGACGGAAGAGGAAAAGGAGAACAGAGATTCAATGCACCAAACTCCCGCCAACACACACACACTCATCACACACACCTTCAGCACGCATGAGGAAGAGGACGAGGAAGAGGAGGATGACGACGACGACTCGCTGTTTACAAGTACGAGATCTGGAAGATACTGCATGTGATGTGTGTGTGTGTTTGTGTGAACTAAATCTGTGTGTGTGTGTTACAGGTACACTGGCTTTAAGGGTCTTACGGAAAGATTCGCTGGCGATCAAACTGAGCAATCGGCCGTCGAAGAGGGAACTGGAGGATAAAAACATCCTCCCGATGATGAGCGACCAGGAGCGGCTGGAGTCCCGCCAGCAGATCGGCACCAAACTGACCCGGTGAGGGACACACACACACATCATCACAACTACACTTTTGGTGCCTGCAATTAAATCTTAAAAAATATATTTAAAAACAAATACTTTATTTCAGCTAGATGCCTACATTTCTCATGTATTTATTATTTATCTCATAACTTGATGTACTAAAATAACAGGCTGAAACAAAAATCGGTAAAAACAGTATAAAAATGTCAAAAACACACAACCGAATTAATAAAACTATAAATTATATATATATAAAAAAGAATAAAATCTACATAGACATTAAAATGTCTAAATTCGACAAAAATGTATTAATACTAAAATGAGAAGTATATTTTTTAAAAATATGTGCAATTAAAATGAATATAATCAACTTAAACTTTAATGAAAATGTAAATAAAAACGAAAAGTGGAATACAATTTTTTTGATTAAAATGAATAAAATTTACATAGAAATTTAGAAAAAAGTATCATAAGCACAACAAAATTACTAAAACTTTAACAAAATTAAACATGGAACTTATAGAAATTGAAAAAATTAAATCAGAATCAGAACAAATCTGATTTTCATATGCAGCTGTGGAGGGCGATTTTAAACCAATGAGATTTTAATGTAGGCGGAGTTACACTTCTTTTAAAATAGAAGCGATCTGGCAAACAAATGCATTGCGTTTGTAGTATTTTGGTATTGTGATTAAATAGTAAATGATGTACTGCTGCTGCTGTCAGTTTGTGTTGGTGATTTGTAATAAATGAAGCTTGTTTTGGATGTGTGTCCAGTCGTCTCAGCCAGAGACCGTCGGCAGAAGAACTGGAGCAGAGAAACATCCTCAAACGTAAGACCACCTGTCACTCAAACACACACATCTGGAGCGCATGAGCTTCAGACTCAGTGTTTGCTCTCGTTCTCTCATCAGCGCGCAACGAGCAGGAGGAGCTGGAGGAGAAGCGCGAGCTGAAGAAACGACTCTCCAGGAAGGTGAGATTTCCCCAAATCCTGAGCTTTCCGGCTGTTTCTATAGCAACAGGCTATTCTAGGTCGCGGCACAGATTACATTAGTTACGCAACATCTTTAGGTGTGTTTGGTTTTCTCTGTCGAGCACCCACAGAAACACACGAGTCAGTCCAAACCGGGGGTGCGTGGACAAAAGCCCATATTAATAATCTGCCATTGCTCGCATAATGGCCCAGAGGGATCGTAGGAGTTCGTGGGATGCCCACTCTCCTATAGACTTGGTGGGAAGTGGGCCTTTTAGGACTACCCTCGATTTAACGGATCGGGACTTGACCTCCACCACTATTTTTATAATGGCATAAATGCTACGTGGGATCTCAATATCTCAGCTCTGGAAGGGTCTAGAGCCTCCATTTTTGTCCTCAGGTGTGAGTCCCATGGCCCTCTATCAGAATCCAGAGTTTTGAGAAGATTGGACAAATTTAATTTTTTCGCTCAAAAAAAACCCCGAAAGGGGTACCACTGTCGTTTTTTTTTTCGGGTCGAAATTTTGAGTTTCGATATCTCAGCTCTGGAAGGGTCTAGAGCCTCCATTTTGTAAGTCTCATGGCCCTCTATCAGAATCCAGACTTTCAAGAAGATTGGGGATACTTAATCCCCCCCCCCCCCCCCAAAAAAAAACGTAAGGGGTAACACTGTCGTTTTTTTTTTCTGGTCGAAATTTTGATTTTTGATATCTCAGCTCTGGGGGGGTCTAAAGCCTCCATTTTTGCAGTCAGGTGTAAGTCTCATGGCCCTCTATCAGAATCCAGACTTTCAAGAAGATTGGGGATACTTAATTAAAAAAAAAAAAATTTTTTACTTTCGACGCCAAAAAAAAAAAAACGACAGTGGTACCCCTTTCGTTTTTTTTGTTTTTTTTTTTGTGCAAAAAAATAAGTTTCTCCAATCTTCTTGAAACGTTGGATTCTTATAGAGGGCCATGGGACGTAGACCTGAGTGCACAAATGGAGGCTCTAGTCTAGACCCTTCCAGAGCTGAGATATCGAAATTCAAAATTTCGACCCGAAAAAAAACGACAGTGTTACCCCTTTCGTTTTTTTTCGTTTTTGGGCGAAAAAATTAAGTTTCTCCAATCTTCTCAAAACTCTGGATTATGATAGAGGGCTGTGAGACTTTGACCTGAGTGCAAAAATGGAGGCTCTAGACCCTTCCAGAGCTGAGATATCGAAATTCAAAATTTCGACCCGAAAAAAAAACGACAGTGTTACCCCTTTCGTTTTTTTTCGTTTTTGGGCGAAAAATTAAGTTTCTCCAATCTTCTCAAAACTCTGGATTATGATAGAGGGCTGTGAGACTTTGACCTGAGTGCAAAAATGGAGGCTCTAGACCCTTCCAGAGCTGAGATATCGAAATTCAAAATTTCGACCCGAAAAAAAAACGACAGTGTTACCCCTTTCGTTTTTTTTCGTTTTTGGGCGAAAAATTAAGTTTCTCCAATCTTCTCAAAACTCTGGATTCTGATAGAGGGCCACAAGACTTTGACCTGAGTGCAAAAATGGAGGCTCTAGACCCTTCCAGAGCTGAGATATCGAAATTCAAAATTTCGACCCGAAAAAAAAACGACAGTGTTACCCCTTTCGTTTTTTTTCATTTTTGGGCGAAAAATTAAGTTTCTCCAATCTTCTCAAAACTCTGGATTCTGATAGATGGCCAAGAGACTTTGACCTGAGTGCAAAAATGGAGGCTCTAGACCCTTCCAGAGCTGAGATATTAAAATTCAAAATTTCGACCCGAAAAAAAAACGACAGTGTTACCCCTTTCGTTTTTTTTTCATTTTTGGGCGAAAAATTAAGTTTCTCCAATCTTCTCAAAACTCTGGATTCTGATAGAGGGCCACGAGACTTTGACCTGAGTGCAAAAATGGAGGCTCTAGACCCTTCCAGAGCTGAGATATCGAAATTCAAAATTTCGACCCGAAAAAAAAACGACAGTGTTACCCCTTTCGTTTTTTTCATTTTTGGGCGAAAAATTAAGTTTCTCCAATCTTCTCAAAACTCTGGATTATGATAGAGGGCTGTGAGACTTTGACCTGAGTGCAAAAATGGAGGCTCTAGACCCTTCCAGAGCTGAGATATTGAAATTCAAAATTTCGACCCGAAAAAAAAACGACAGTGTTACCCCTTTCGTTTTTTTTCGTTTTTGGGCGAAAAATTAAGTTTCTCCAATCTTCTCAAAACTCTGGATTATGATAGAGGGCTGTGAGACTTTGACCTGAGTGCAAAAATGGAGGCTCTAGACCCTTCCAGAGCTGAGATATCGAAATTCAAAATTTCGACCCGAAAAAAAAACGACAGTGTTACCCCTTTCGTTTTTTTTTTTCGTTTTTGGGCAAAAAATTAAGTTTCTCCAATCTTCTCAAAACTCTGGATTCTGATAGAGGGCCATGAGACTTTGACCTGAGTGCAAAAATGGAGGCTCTAGTCTAGACCCTTCCAGAGCTGAGATATCGAAATTCAAAATTTCGACCCGAAAAAAAACGACAGTGTTACCCCTTTCGTTTTTTTTTCGTTTTTGGGCGAAAAATTAAGTTTCTCCAATCTTCTCAAAACTCTGGATTATGATAGAGGGCTGTGAGACTTTGACCTGAGTGCAAAAATGGAGGCTCTAGACCCTTCCAGAGCTGAGATATCGAAATTCAAAATTTCGACCCGAAAAAAAAAACGACAGTGTTACCCCTTTCGTTTTTTTCATTTTTGGGCGAAAAATTAAGTTTCTCCAATCTTCTCAAAACTCTGGATTATGATAGAGGGCTGTGAGACTTTGACCTGAGTGCAAAAATGGAGGCTCTAGACCCTTCCAGAGCTGAGATATCGAAATTCAAAATTTCGACCCGAAAAAAAAACGACAGTGTTACCCCTTTCGTTTTTTTCGTTTTTGGGCGAAAAATTAAGTTTCTCCAATCTTCTCAAAACTCTGGATTATGATAGAGGGCCACGAGACTTTGACCTGAGTGCAAAAATGGAGGCTCTAGACCCTTCCAGAGCTGAGATATCGAAATTCAAAATTTCGACCCGAAAAAAAAACGACAGTGTTACCCCTTTCGTTTTTTTTCGTTTTTGGGCGAAAAATTAAGTTTCTCCAATCTTCTCAAAACTCTGGATTATGATAGAGGGCTGTGAGACTTTGACCTGAGTGCAAAAATGGAGGCTCTAGACCCTTCCAGAGCTGAGATATTAAATTCAAAATTTCGACCCGAAAAAAAAACGACAGTGTTACCCCTTTCGTTTTTTTTTTCATTTTTGGGCGAAAAATTAAGTTTCTCCAATCTTCTCAAAACTCTGGATTCTGATAGAGGGCTGTGAGACTTTGACCTGAGTGCAAAAATGGAGGCTCTAGACCCTTCCAGAGCTGAGATATCGAAATTCAAAATTTCGACCCGAAAAAAAAACGACAGTGTTACCCCTTTCGTTTTTTTTCATTTTTGGGCGAAAAATTAAGTTTCTCCAATCTTCTCAAAACTCTGGATTATGATAGAGGGCTGTGAGACTTTGACCTGAGTGCAAAAATGGAGGCTCTAGACCCTTCCAGAGCTGAGATATCGAAATTCAAAATTTCGACCCGAAAAAAAAACGACAGTGTTACCCCTTTCGTTTTTTTCGTTTTTGGGCGAAAAATTAAGTTTCTCCAATCTTCTCAAAACTCTGGATTATGATAGAGGGCTGTGAGACTTTGACCTGAGTGCAAAAATGGAGGCTCTAGACCCTTCCAGAGCTGAGATATCAAAATTCAAAATTTCGACCCGAAAAAAAAACGACAGTGTTACCCCTTTCGTTTTTTTTTTCGTTTTGGGCGAAAAATTAAGTTTCTCCAATCTTCTCAAAACTCTGGATTATGATAGAGGGCTGTGAGACTTTGACCTGAGTGCAAAAATGGAGGCTCTAGACCCTTCCAGAGCTGAGATATCAAATTCAAAATTTCGACCCGAAAAAAAAACGACAGTGTTACCCCTTTCGTTTTTTTTTCATTTTGGGCGAAAAATTAAGTTTCTCCAATCTTCTCAAAACTCTGGATTATGATAGAGGGCCACGAGACTTTGACCTGAGTGCAAAAATGGAGGCTCTAGACCCTTCCAGAGCTGAGATATCGAAATTCAAAATTTCGACCCGAAAAAAAAAACGACAGTGTTACCCCTTTCGTTTTTTTTTCATTTTTGGGCGAAAAATTAAGTTTCTCCAATCTTCTCAAAACTCTGGATTATGATAGAGGGCTGTGAGACTTTGACCTGAGTGCAAAAATGGAGGCTCTAGACCCTTCCAGAGCTGAGATATCGAAATTCAAAATTTCGACCCGAAAAAAAAACGACAGTGTTACCCCTTTCGTTTTTGGGCGAAAAATTAAGTTTCTCCAATCTTCTCAAAACTCTGGATTATGATAGAGGGCTGTGAGACTTTGACCTGAGTGCAAAAATGGAGGCTCTAGACCCTTCCAGAGCTGAGATATCGAAATTCAAAATTTCGACCCGAAAAAAAAACGACAGTGTTACCCCTTTCGTTTTTTTTCGTTTTTGGGCGAAAAATTAAGTTTCTCCAATCTTCTCAAAACTCTGGATTATGATAGAGGGCACGAGACTTTGACCTGAGTGCAAAAATGGAGGCTCTAGACCCTTCCAGAGCTGAGATATCGAAATTCAAAATTTCGACCCGAAAAAAAAACGACAGTGTTACCCCTTTCGTTTTTTTTCATTTTTGGGCGAAAAATTAAGTTTCTCCAATCTTCTCAAAACTCTGGATTATGATAGAGGGCTGTGAGACTTTGACCTGAGTGCAAAAATGGAGGCTCTAGACCCTTCCAGAGCTGAGATATCGAAATTCAAAATTTCGACCCGAAAAAAAAACGACAGTGTTACCCCTTTCGTTTTTTTTCGTTTTTGGGCGAAAAATTAAGTTTCTCCAATCTTCTCAAAACTCTGGATTATGATAGAGGGCTGTGAGACTTTGACCTGAGTGCAAAAATGGAGGCTCTAGACCCTTCCAGAGCTGAGATATCGAAATTCAAAATTTCGACCCGAAAAAAAAACGACAGTGTTACCCCTTTCGTTTTTTTTCATTTTTGGGCGAAAAATTAAGTTTCTCCAATCTTCTCAAAACTCTGGATTATGATAGAGGGCTGTGAGACTTTGACCTGAGTGCAAAAATGGAGGCTCTAGACCCTTCCAGAGCTGAGATATCGAAATTCAAAATTTCGACCCGAAAAAAAAACGACAGTGTTACCCCTTTCGTTTTTTTTCATTTTTGGGCGAAAAATTAAGTTTCTCC